CGCTTTCCACTGATCCTACCACTACTACGGCAGCTACCACTTCAACTGAACCAAGTACCCCAACAACTGAAGGGACTTCTACTGAGATTACAACAACAGAATCAATGACCACAACAGCCAGCACATCAACTGAACTCACTAGTACAACAGCAGAAGGCACTTCAACTGAGGCTACAACCACAGCAGCCACCAGTTCTGCTCCCACTGAATCTACAACTGCGATGGTGCCCACCACTTCAACTGAACTGACCTCCGCATCTCCAGGCAGTTCTACAGAGGCTGTGACTACTACAGGCAGCCCTTCTACTGAATCAACCACTACACCATCTACTAGCACTTCTTCTGAGGCTCCAACCACAGCATCCATCATTCCAACTACCATTGAACCTATAACCACTGTTGGCAGCACTTCAGCTGAAACAACCAGTGCTGCTACAAGCAGTTCTTCTGAGGCTACAACCACAGCAACTACCACAGCTGTTTCCACTGTGTCTACTACCACAACAGCAGCTACCACTTCAATTGAAGTGAGTACTTCAACAACTGCAGGGACTTCTACTGAGGTTACAACAATAGAATCTATGACCACAGCAGCCAGCACTTCAACTGAATTCAGTACAACAACTGTAGGCACTTCAGCTTAGGCTACAAACCCAACAGCCAACAGATCTGCTTCCACTTAATCTGCAAGCACAATGGCAGCTTCCACTGCAACTGAACTGACCTTTTTATCTCCAGGCCATTCTACTGAGGCTATGACCATGATATGCACCACTTCTACTGAACTAATGACTATACCAACTACTAGCATTTCTTCTGATGCACCAAGTACAGCAACCCTCCCCCCTAACCCCACTGAATCTAAAACCACTCTAGCAACCTCCACTTCAAGAGAAGTGACCTCAATATCTCCAGACATATCTACTGAGGCTTGAACACAATAGATAATACTTCTACTGAATGAACCTCTACAGCAACTAACTTGCACTGCCTCTGAGGCTCCTACCACAGCAGCCACTACTGCTGCTCCAACTGAATCTCTAACTCTTATCACTTCCACTGAACCAACCCCTCAGGAACTCCAGACACTTTCTATTAGGCTGAAACCACAGTGGCCATATCTAGTACTTCCACTGATCTACATAACCAGCACTTCAACTGAACCAATTACCACACAACTACTTTTGTTTTCATTGAGGCTAAAGCCGCAATGTTTATCACCACCACTTTTGCTGAACCAACGACTACTCCTTCAATCACAACCTCTACAGAAACAACTACTTCAACAACTGAAGGCACTTCCACTGAGGCTACAACCACAGCAGCTACCAGTTTTGTTCCCACTGAATCTACAAGCACAATGGTATCCATCACTTTAAATGGTCTGAGTACCTCAATAACTGTAGGTAGTTTCACTGAAGCTACAACCACAGAAACTGCAATAACAATAAGCAGTACCTCAATGTAACCAACTACCACAAGAACTGTAGGCACTTTTACTGAGGCTACAACCACAGCAGCACTGTTACTACTTCCACTGAGTCTACAACCACGCAGTGAATGCTTCGTCTGAACCATCCATCACAATAGCTACAAGTTTTTCCATTGAGACTTCAGCCACTATGATTAACACCACTGGTTATACTGAGCCAATCATGACTACAGCAATCATAACTTCAACTGAAATGATTACTACCACAACTGAAGGCACTTCAACTAAGGCTACAACCACAGCAGCCACTAGTTCTGCTTCCACTGAATCTACATATACAATGGTAGCCACTACTTCCACTGAACTCTCCTCAGCAACCCCAGGCGTTCCATTGAGTTTAAATACAGACTATATGACCACAACCATCAGTACTTCAACTGAGTTAAGCACCACAACAACTGTAGGTAGGTCCACTGAGGCCACAACTACAGAATCTATGACCACATCAGCCAGCACCTCCTTTGAACCACTTACTACAACTGAAGGTACTTCTACTGAAGCTACAACCACATCATTCACCACTATTGCTCCCACTGAATCTACAACTACAGTGGCAGCCACCACTTCAAGTGAACTGACAGCATTCAGTTCCACTCCTGCTATGACCTCAACAACCAACTTTTATAGAGTCAGCCACCACAACAACTTTAGACACTCCCACTGAGGTGACAAGCACAGAAGTCACCTCTCATACTTCCACCAAATCTACAACTGCCAACACTTTAATTGAATGAACTACCACAACAACTACAAGCACTTCCACCGAGACTATTACCACAGTAAATGCCATGACTGCCTCCACTGAATCTACAACCACAACACCCTCCACTTGAACTGAAATGCTTGCCTAAGCAACTGCAGTTGCTTCAACTGCAGCTCTAATTACAGCAACTACTACTCTCGCTCGAACTGAATTGTCAACCACAACAGCCAACACTTCAAATGAACCAACCAGCACAAGTACCGGCACCTCCACCAAGACTCAAACCGCAGCCAGCCTTCACAACTGCTTCAACTTTACTCACCACTATAACAGCAGCCAACACTTCAACTAAGCCCCCCCACCCCGATAACTACAAGCACTTCTACTAGGCTACAACCACAGCAGCAACCACAACTACTTCCTCTGAATATGCAACTACAATGGCTGCAACAACTTCAACTGAACTAAATTAACTACTTCACCAAGTGCAGGCAGTTCCACTGAGGCTACAACCACAGCAGCCACCTCTATTACTTCCATTGTATCTACAACCATGTTATCTAACACTTCATTCTAACTAACTACCACAACAACTACAGAGACTTCCACTGAGGTCCAATAACAGCAGCCATTATGTCTTCCTTCCACTGTATTTTTTTTTTAACCACAATATCTTGCACTTCAACTGAACAAACCACATCAACAACTGCAGGCACTTCTGAACCTACTATCAGAATAACCACCACTGCCATTCCTAGTGAACCTATAATCATATAGCTGCTACCAATAGCAACTACCACAGATATTTCCATTTAAGGGACCACCAAAACAATCACCATTTCTGCTTCCATCAAACCAGCCACTCCAACAACAGCAGCCCTACAAATGAACCAATTACCTCTACAACTGCAGGCACATCCACTGAGGCTATCACCACATTGGACACCACTATTACTCCCACTGTACTATAACCACAACATCTGTTACCACTACAACTAAAGTGACTACCACAACTGAAGGCACCTCCAGAATCTACAACCACAACAGCATCCATCACCACAATTCATTGCACTTCCACTGAGGCCACAACTTCCATGGTCACCACTACTGCTTCTACAGAACTCCTTTCTTTTTTTTGGGGGGGGGAAGGTTTTTGCTATAGGGGGCGTGCGTTCGCCAGAAAGACAGAGAGAGACAGAGAGACAGAAAGTGAGAAATCACCCCCCAGGGGGATGGCCACACCACAGTCCCTTCTCCTCCATTCTCCTCTTGGGATCCTAGGCACGCACGCACACACACCCAGCATGAGTTTAAGCTGCTGGGTCCGGGACTCGAACCACAGTCGGCTACGTGGGAGTCCAGCGACATAGTCATTATGCTAACTACTGGTCCCTACAGAACTCACTTCTAAAAATGTGGCCAGAATGCCAATTTTACTGACTCCTAAAGCAACTTCAGGCACTTCCAGTGAACCTAAAAGCATAACAGCTTCCACTACTATTATCACTGTATCTATAGTCATAATTGTGGTCACCACATGAACTGAAACAACTACTACATTATATATAGGCACTTCCATTGAAATTACAAGCACAACAGTCTCTGCTACTGCTTCTACTAAACATACCACTATAACAGCAGCCAGTTCTGCAACATAACTATCACAGATGCAAATACTTCCACTGAATCTGTAAGCTTTTGCTTTGTCACTAATGCTTCTACTGAATCTACAACCACAACAGCAGACACCGCTTCAATTGATGTGACTACTACAACTCCAAGTACATCTACTGAGTCTATAACCACAACAATCAACACTACTGCTTCTACTGATCCCACTACTTCAATAATAACCAATACTGCAGCTGAATAGACTACCACAGCAGCTTTTGAAACTTCTGAACATTCAAGCAGAGGCTACTATTATAGCTTCTTTTTACAATTTCTTTAAAATTTTTTTCTTATTATATTTATTTATAAATTCAATCACTATACATTATTTAAATTGTAGAGACTTTACCCAACATGATATACATCTCAGTCCAGTTGAGAATACTATACACATCCTCATCAACAGATAATAAACCTTATCTTTGTCCCACAAATATCTTACCTTCCATTTTTTTCCTCCAAATGATCTTTCCTGCACTCTTCCCCTCCCACACTCTCCTTCCACTTTGTATCTAGTGTCCATAACAATTTTCAATGCTTTTATGTCCTTCAGTCTTTCAGTCTCTACCATAGAGTGTGGACAGTCGGTGTATGTTAAGTGGAGATATACAATGTCTCTGTTTCAAAGCCTAACTTGCTTCACTCAGCAATAAATCTTCCATTTTTGTCCACTTTCTATCAAATACCAGGGCCTCGTTGTTTTTTATGGCTGAATAATATTCCGTGGAATATATGTGCCACCCTTTTTCAACCCATTCATAGATCTGTGGACATTTGGGCTGGTTCCATATCTTGACAATCATGAATAGTGCTGCAATAAATATAGTTGTGCAAGCACTTTTCTGACTGATTGTTCTCCTGTCCTTTGGGGATACCCAGGAGTGGAATTGCTGGATCATAGTTATTGTATTTGTAGATCTTTGGGGAACTTTCTATTGTTATTGTTCTCCACAGTGGCTGGACCAGTTTACATTCCCACTAGCATTCACCACATCCCTGCCAGCCCTTATCATTTTTTGTTTGTTTAATCTTCGTCATTCTGACTGAAGTTAGGTGGTATTTCATTGTGGGTTTAATCTGCATCTCCCTTACAATGAAGGATGCTGAGCATTTTTTTTTTTCATATGCTTTTTGGCTGTCCGTATGTCTTCCTTAGAGAGTTGTTTATTCAGCTAATCTTCCCATCTTTTAATTGAGTTCATCATTTTCTTCCAGGTAAGCCGCTTGAGTTCTCTGTGTATTCTGGTTATCAGCCCCTTACCTGAGACACAGTTAACAAATATTCTCTCCCATTTCAAGGGTTGTCAGTTCACACTATTTATGTTGTCCTTTGCTGTGCAGAAACTCCTTAATCTGATGCAATCCCACCTGTCTATTTTGGGGATTATTTCCTGTGCTTTCGGTATTATAGCTTCTTCTGAATTGGCAACCATAACAGAAGGCAACACGTCAGCTAAAGTGACCTCCACAACAACTTCAGGCATTTTACTGAGTCTGCAACTGCAACAATCACAACTACTGCTTCTACCGAATTCACCTCTCTATTAACAACCAACCTTGCAGCTGAATCAACTACCATAGCAAATGCTAGAATTTCTATTCATTGTATTGATACAAGCACAACAGCTACCACTACTGCTTCCACTGAAGCTACAATCACACCAGCAGCCAGCTATTCAACTGAAGCACTTCTACTGAACCATGCCCATCACTATTGCTTCTAATGGATCTACAACCACAGCAGCAACTGAGACTGCACTATAAGCAACAAGCACTATGTGGGCAGT